CCATTTATCCAGGATCGAATAGACGCATGAGGATTCTGCCCGTTAACATTGAATGTACCAACACGAATTCTTCAAAGTAGATTTAGTGGACGAAGATGGTACTGGGGTAAAATATGGTAGCACCTGACTGAGTGTGTCGACGCATATTCGTCCTTCCTTGCTCGAACCTGTTTAAGGACCCAGTCATCTCGAATCAAGACAGCGTCTGCGTCCTCATCACCAGGCTCTCCGGCAAAGGCTGAGGAAAGGGATGGCCCATGATGTAAGCGGCGAAGATCTTTTGATAGGTTAGTACAACAGGTTTGTACTATATTTAATGAGTACCTGGAGGACGCATAAGTTGCGAAATTACTGGAAAGAATGTAAGTACACAACCCGAGAAGAAAAATAAGAACATACTCCTACGATCAACGGTGGTAGGCGAGTATGCTGCCATCCAGCTGTGAGTTGCCTTAGGGGGATCTTGCTCTGTCGCTGCAACCTATAAGGATCCCATCGTGAATATCAGAATAGGTCATACCTTGAGGAACTTTGAAACGACTACACTCTTCCCTCAGTGCAACCGCCTCAGCTTCTGGACACATGAAGGACAACTCTTCGCCCTCAGAGTGAACATCTACCAAGCAGTCTACAACGGGTAAGGTACCATAATTTCATAATTTACCCGACTTACCTGGTCGCTTTGTAGTGGTTGTAGCATCTGGCTGGGCTGGAACGCCAAGTGCACTCGACGAAACCTGGGCGAGGTTTATTTCAAAGTCAGGGCCGATAGCCAAAGTGGCAACGAGAACTAGAGATGGCGGTTCCGATTTAGTCCACTTGAAAATAAAGAGTCTGTAGTGATTTTAGAGAGTCATGTTGGTTGTCTTTGTTGACTGTATGGAGATGATCAATAACCTACGCTCCAATCTGTTCATCCTGCGCCTCATGTACTACAACGGCTATGACACGTCTTGTGGGTCGTAAGAAGTTGTTTTGCGTAGGGCTTGTTGTTGAGCCAGTACTTGCTGAGCCAGGGCTGGTATCAATGACAAGTGTCACCTTCTCTGATGTACGAAGCAGCTTTTTAACCTCTTCGTGAGCGTTTTGCATCTTATATTCGGAGTTTGTCGTGTAAGTGCGGCATATGTTGGGTGCAGGATTCAGGCCGAGGACATGAACTGAACCAATTGAGAATCGTCGGAGTCTTGACGTAGTTTTCTTATGGATGTTATACTGGCTCAGAACGCCTTGATAGGACTGCTTTGACGACTAATAAAGGGGAATAGTAACATAACGCATTTAATAGAATGATCAGCTATCTACGCGTTGTATTGGACTACATAATCCGCTGCCTGAAAATCACCCTTTTGGAGTTGATATACCGTGGTATTATGTCAGAAAATTGCTCTCATAGTGTCAACTCGAGAATATAAATCCTGTCCATGATGTGAAATCCATATGCCATTAGATTCCGGAGTGTTACCTCTGTATTGTCTTCCATAAGTACGTCGGCAAT